CACCGCTGAGGTAGTTCGTAAATATGATCTACACATGTGGTTTGCTACCACCTCTGAGGTAGTTCGTGGGGCGTTTTTAGGTTTAGTAGTGGCTCAACAATATAAATCATGTGTATGACGTTGTTTTTAAGATATTACTTATAAATTTGTAACCAAGATTGATTCATTTAAAATTATTTTATGCATATAAAACCTGTGAACTCACCAACTCGTGTAGTTGACTCTGTTTTATGTCATGCTTTTCAGGTAGTAAGTAAGTTATGTGGACTCTGGGAGCATTACTTGGATTACATCGATTAAGACAGTTTTTATTGTATTTGAAAATACTTTTGTAACCTTGGAATCCTGTTAAGTCGATGAACTATTTTATTGTGAATCTTTGTAGAATGTGTTTCTCTTAAACTGTTGCCAAGACTCGCTTGTCTGTTAACATTCCGCGTTTCCGCTTTAGTGGGGTGTGACAAAAACCCATTCCTTTTAGCATCTCTAAAAGAAATTGCCAGTCAACTGTATCATATGCTTTCCGAATGTCAATCTTAAAAGCACATTTTGGTTCCCCTTTAGATCGTTGATAACCAACAACTAGTTCATGCATCATTAAGATATTATCAGTGATTTGACGCCCAGGAATGAACGCAGATTGAGCCTTGCTAATAAGAACATCCAAAGAGCCTTTTATCCGTTCAGCAATAATTTTACTGATATACTTTAGCAACACATTACAATAGGCAAAGGGCCGCTAATCAATAACACAAGAAGCATTAGGAACCTTCGGGACAAGACAAAGTAGAGTATGGTTTAGCTGATATTCCAAAGTTCCAGAATAGAAGAAATTATGAATCCCAATGAGAACATCCCTACCTACCACACTCCAAGTCGCTTTAAAGAATTTAGACGAAAACCCATCAGGGCCAGGAGCCTTATCATTCCCAATAGCAAACAAAGCATCCTTTATTTCCATATCCGAAATCGGACGGATTAAGTGTAGAGAATCCGAAATGCCTTGAAAATGAGTAAGTAACGCTTTAGGAACCTCCTGATGCTAAAAAACAGTACCAGCAGCATCCCTAATAGTAGCAATATGGCTCCTATTGCGCTTCTCTTTCATAGCATGAAAAAAGAAGTTTGAATTTCCATCCCCTTCATTGAGCCAAGAGATCTTCGCTTTTTGACGAACCATTTCCACTTGATCATTTCTAGCCTTTTGATATGCTAACAAGAGGTGAGCAATGTCCTCTTTCAGCAAATCATTAAACGGGTCTAGATCACAAGCCAATTGAGCAACCTCAAGCTCTGACTTTAACTGAACCACCCTTTTATCCAAACACCCATAAGAATTTCGGAGTCGACAACAAACCCCTTTCATAGCTTGCAATTTCCGGATCACTCTCTTCATATAAGATCCTCGCTGAGGTTTCATCCACACCTCCTCCGCAGATTTAAGGAAATCCATATGAGAAGTCACAAAATTATCAAACTTAAATCCACGCTGGCGAATACATCGACCAACTTTAAAAGAAAGAATACCCGGAGAGTGGTCGGAGATCCCCCTTGGTTCAAAGAAAACCGAAGCGTCCCCAAATCTTGTAATAAAAGCAGAATTTCCCAAAATACGATCTAGTTTACGCATAACACCGTCACTCCCAGAAGGTTTCTGTATCCAAGTAAATTGGCATCCCTGATACGAAATGTCAAACAATTCTGCCTCTTCCAGACAAAGATGAAACTCCTCCATATCAGAGTTTCTTCTAGAGGAACCCCCCAACCCATCATGACGAAAAAACATTGAGTTGAAATCACCCATCGCAACCCATGCTTTCCTTTGACTAAACGCATGAAATTTACCAATATCCCGCCAAAGCTCACGCCTTTCCACTCCCGTATTACACCCATAGATGAAAGAAATAAAAATAGGATCAAGTTGACCAATAATCCTAATTTCACAATGGACATATAATGGGTTATTACTCCTTAAGGAGTCCAATTGGGTCATAATGACACAAACTAGGTCCTGATTAGTCTTATTAGAACCTAATGGGTATTAAGCGCCACATCTCTCCTTGAGGAGTCTAATTGGGTCAAAATGATACTAAATGAGTCAAAATTAGTATATAACTAGACGTTAATGTGACTAATTGAGGTATAATGGTTCCTAAGGGTCCTTATTGGGTCCAATTGGTCCTAGTAGGAAGAGTGTGCCTACTTCTTTTAATCGAGTCATTCGTATAAAAATGACACTAAATGGATCGTATTTAATCAAATTGGACCCAAATTGGTCTAATAGGCCCATTTCTTTATAAGGAGTCTAATTGGGTCAAAATGACACTAATTGGGTTTATTTAGTTTGATCAGACCTTAATGGATAAATGGTACTAAATCGGTCATGATTAGTCCAATGAGAAGTTAACGAGAGTAAGTGAGGTAGAATGGGTTTTTTTTTGTCCTTACTGGGTCCATTTCGTGTTGGAGGCTATAATAGGCTATTTCTTCTTAAGAAGTCCAATTGGGTCAAAATGATACTATATGAGTCGTAGTTAAGTATAACTAGACGTTAATGTGACTAGTTGGCGTACAATGGTCCTTAATGACACTAATTGGGTAATATTTAGTTTGATCAGACCTTAATGGGTTTAATGAGCTTATTTCTCCAATTTGAGTGTAATTGAGTTACAGTGGTACTAAATGTGTCATAATTAGTCTAATAAGAAGTTAATCAGGGCGATTAAGGTATATTGGGCTTATTTCTCCAATTTGATTCTAATTGAGTTATAATCGTACTAAATGGGTCTTATTATTCTAACCAGACATTAATAAAGGTGTAATATTCAGGTTTGAGATTTGAGTTAAGATTTTTGGACTATATTCATATATATATATATGTGTGTGTGTGTGTGTGTGTATGTGTATGTGTAATTGTTTTCATTGGAAGTAAAAAAACAATTATGGGAAGAAGTAAGTCGGCTGTGTGTCTGCCGCCATATTAGTGTCTCCTCTTACTATAAATAGTAAGAGGGAAGGATGTAAAGGGGTTTTTTCATACTTGCTTCATTAGAAAAGTTTTCTTGGTGAATCATACGATTTGGCAGAAAAGAAGAGAATTCAGAATCAGGATTCCTTGTTTAAGGTGAGTGTTTTATGCTTTGATGTAACAAATGTAAATTGTTGAAATGGTTTTTTATGTTTCATATATTATTTGGATTACTACTGGTTGAATGTTGACCGGAAATCTTCCTAAACCGGTCAAGTGTTGTCCGGTTTGGAGTTAAATCGCCCAAGTGTTGTCCGGATATCTTCCTAAACCGGACAAGTGGTGTCCGGCTATCATCTTAAATCGCCCAAGGGTTAACCGGTGTTTCGTTAACTCGTACAAATCGGGTTAAGTGAATTTTTGGTAAAATTATGCATAACATATTTGTATTCTATACTTAACTAACTTGTACTCTAAACTAGTTTTGTGTTAAAAGTTAAGTTTATACCAATATTGGTGTAAAGTTGAGAATCTAGACTTATAGGGTCAAAACCGCCAAATAATTAAACTTTATATATATATATATATATATATAAATTAAATAAAAAAAAGAATTTTTTTTATATATATACATGCATGCGTGAATGGCGGTGATCCATTCTCACTCTCGTCTCAGTATTTTCTCTCTCTAAAAACTTTCGTCTTCTCTCTAAATTTCACGTCAAGTTAATAAGGGGATCGAGACAACAATTATATATTCGGAATCCACTCTACGAACCCTTCTTAAGGGTATAAGTTTCATTCAGTTTAATTAAGGTGTTTATTTTAGGGTTATTTAGACCGGTTTATAAAYTGTGTTTATATCTAAGTTTACGGATTGATTTTGTCAAAATCATGATATATTTGATGTTTAGGATGCTAGTACTGGTTATATTGATGTAGAAATAAAAAGGGTATATTATAGTTTCAATATGAATAGATTGTGGGTAAATATTTAACCGTACACCAATTGTTCGGTTAAATGTCGGAAGGAGTAAAAATGCATGATTAAGCTTAGGTTAACGACTTTTAGACTTGTTTTACTGTTTAGTATGTTGAAGTATGTTTATAGCATGTAAATGTAGTGAATCATGAAAGTTGGATCATAAAAGTTAGTCGAGAATTACGGAATCGAATTTTACCGACAATGTAACTCCTGTACTTTGACAATGTATAACTCACAAACCGTAAGTCAGATTAAGCTTGTATTTTGCAGTCAGAAAGATCTTACTGCATACTACAACTTATATGAAGAGTCGAAAATCCAGTTATGACTCTAGGTGGCTCGAAACAGTGTGTTTATGGGGCTGTTTACACTGTATTTGGGATTAATTTACAGTTTTGTAAAATTCACATAAAATAGATGGATGATCCAAATGAGATGATTTCAAAAGCAATAGACTAGTATGATACCAATATACAACTTTCATTTAGAAAATATAATCTGGATTGGTCTCTAA